GGCATGCGCACCCTCCTCCTTTCTCCTCTCCGGGCGGGAGGCTAGGGAAACGGCTCTGGTGACAGGCCATTCGAGCCCTGCGCTCAGCCAATGGGCTTCCGCGCACAGTCCCTTGGCGGAGGGGCGCATGCGCAGCGGGAAAGCGCTGGGTTTTCGAACAAGCGGTCGGGCGCGCAGGCCTCGGAGGCGGGGGCGGGGCTCGGCGGCGGCGGCCCCGGAGCTGGGCGGTAGGGCTGTCAGCGACATGGCAGAGGCGCTGGTGAGAGCGGGAGCCGGGGCGGGGGACCCTGAGGCGGTGCCCCATTTCAACCGCCGTGGACTACGGGGCGGGGCTCGCGGGCCCTCGCGCCTCCGTGGGGTAGTGGAACGTTGTGCGCGAGGGCCGTGAGTGCAGTTGCTCTTGGGCGGCTCCGTTGGCCCTTGCGCGCTGCGCCTGCGCTGGTTAAGGCCCTGAAGCGCCCTGCCCCCCCCCGTCGGCCTGCTCTTGCCCGTCCTGTCTGCCAGCTCTTGCCCCTCGTGCTTCTGTGACTCCGCCCCCCCAGCCGCCTTCTGCCTTGCTGCGTCTGACTCCAACTGAGCCTGCTGGGACCCCGCACCGTCTGTCCTCTCTATGCTGCTGTTCCAGCCCCTCTTTAATTGTGCTCCGTGTTGCCAGGTGTATGACAATGATCGTATTTGTACGATAGTTTCAAGCCTTGTCTGATCAATGAGAGGAAAAGTGTTCACAATGTACAGTTATTGGTGAGGCAGCTCGTTGATGCAGCCAATGCAAAACCCCAATCACTCTCAGGGAGCCTTAACTGACTTTTGGGTTTGCTGTCAGCAGTTTCTTATGATGGCTTGCCTCAAAATACAGAAATGCTTCACCTTTGACCCATTTCTCACTCACTGTCGACTTACAGTGGGCACTGTAAAGGAAAAAATAAGATGAATTTGAATAATCATTTCATACTTATTTGGATATTCTTTTGGTGTACGATAGTTTTTCAGTAAATACAAAAACTGAGCTTCCAGTATGCTAACTTTATATTTAATATCTGGCAACACTGGTTGTGCTTCTGACTGCTCTCCAAGGCTTTGCACCTTGCACTTGTCTGTGTTGAATGTCCTCTTGAGAGCTTCCATCCAGTTTTCTGACCTGCTGAGATTCTTTGTGACTTGAAGGCTGTCACAAAAAGCTTGACACTTTGTCCTTTTCCAGTCCTCTGGGATCTTGCCTGTCTTCCATGTCTTTGCAAACATTTATGACAGTGCTGAGATTTCTCTAAGCCAGTTTCTTCAGCAGCTTGGGAGGAATTTTGTTAGTCCCTTTTGACTTAAATTAATTTAAATTTATGAAAAGCTCTTTGACATGATCTTTAGTTATTCTGAGCCTCAATCCTCCTTTGTTGGTATTCATTTTGTTACCTGTCTAGTTGCTGGATGCTTGACACCCCTGTTCTAGAGGAAAGCTGGCTTACTGGATATGATTGTATAGATGAGCACACCTACTAGTACTGCAGAAATACTGAGCTAGGAGAGTTCTATCTGTTTCAGATAAGCCTGGAAATCTTATGGACTGATATACACAGGATACAGAAGTCTAAGTTTTCTTTTTCTTTTCGAATGGTAATGTGTTTGGTAAAACAGTCTCCCTATTTTTTTTTAACAGAATCATTTAAAAAAAGATTACAGAGCAAGATTCTGCAATGGAGAAAGGTAATGTGTTTAGATTTAAAATTTTAGTTTTTAGGAACTGAATATTTCGGAGAGTAACTTTGGTTAATATTGAGGTTAATATCACAGCTTCTAACTGTAACCCTTTAAATTGGTTATGGCATATGGTGCATAATGAGGTCGGATCTGGGGGGGTTTCTGTGGTGCAGCTGCGCCCTGTATCTACTGTACAGCTCACATGCTGGTGGCTCCAGTTTCCTGCGGCACTGGGTGCCTGAGACCCTGTGGAATCTGGGTAGGAATAGAGCTCAGACTGGGAGGGATTGTGGTGAGGCACAGCTCAAGCTCCAAGGGAGGGAGCAGGTGTAGGAAGAGGGGATGTGCCTCCTGCTGCTGCAGTCTCCATAATGGGGACAAGGGGAGACCAGGGCCATTCCTGCTGCATCCCAACTGGGAGCTGTGGGGAGCAGCAGCTGTGTAAGATGCTGGGCTTGGCCTGGGACAGTGGTGTTGGCAGGCAGGTCCCCTTTTTCTGTGCTGGATGGGGTGGGAGGTGCTGCTGAGTTCTGTAGGGGAAGGGGTCCTGAGATCTGGGTAGAGTCTTACCTGGCTGCTGCTGATTCGGTGTGGTCTGCCCACCCTGGGAGGGCTGGGTGACGGGAGATGCGGAGCAGAGTGAGGCACTAAGAGATGGGGGGTTTTCAATCATCCCTATAATGCTAGTTGTATCTTTTGCACTTTCCACCCCTCCCCAGTCCCCTTTAAAAAGTCTTAAATCTGCCCATTGAAACTCTTTAACAAAAAAATCCCACCCGACATTTTAAAACCTTTTTTCCCCTGATGAGATTCTTTGGCAGTTAACAAAGCAACTGCTTAATGTTATGTTGCTGCTGCTTCTATTGTTTAGTGTATAGACTGTATAACAATAATAGATTAATTAAATAAAATATCAGATAATAACAATTGAACAGTGATTGCATAAGTAGTTACTCAAGAAAGGATTGCCAAGTTGTACAAGCAACCTTAAACTTACATTTGCCGGTTAGCTGCCAGTGTCTTCTCTGCACTAACCATGACTCAAGGGTCCTGCTGATAGTCTCTCCCTTGCTCCCAGGATCTTGGAACATGTATTGCACCTGTTGGAAAGGTGGGTGAGGGAGATATTGAGTGGGCTACATGAGGTTTTGTTGCTGGGAAATCAATGCTCAGTTCAGTAACAAATCTGCTATAACAAAAGAGTAAGGTAGCATTGTTGTCATTTTTGCAAGATGATGAAGGTTTCTTTATTCCTTAGTCTGTGCTAGGGTCTAGAGTAGAGCTGTTCAACTAGGTAATGTACAGCTTGCAGGCTCGTCCTGGCCACCCACACAGTGACCAGGAGCTTGCACTTGGGGAAGTGCGGGCAGTGCTGTGGCTTCTGTGATGTGTGGTCCCTGCTGGTATGGTTGCTGGACCCTGAGAGCTTAGACAGCCCTGGCCCAGAGCAAGAGGCTTTCCAGTTTGTACTTTTTCATTTCCCCTTGTGCCCTTCCCATTCCTGAAAGTTGTTTCTGTCAACACCTGCCGCTTCCTTTCTTGTGGGCTGGGGGAGGGAAGGAGGAAGAGGAAGGAAGGAAAGGAATGGTCTGTGTTGAAGCTGAACTCAGCACGCATGTGTGAGATGGAAATAGGAAGTAAAATACACTCCTTTTCCCCTTCTCTCCTGCTTTTACTGTGGTTCATCATGTTTAGTTAGTTGCTGCTGCGTCAGGTGACTCCTCCCTTATTAATGCAGGGGTTTACCTGGATTTGTGAACAATAGTCAACCTACCGAAAAGGAAGAAAAGCTTTAGTTTAAGGTTCTTAACAGTGAATGTCAGTGAGTAGAACTGCGCTGTAGGATTGTTCCTATACTCTAAATTTTGGCTTTTCAGCTTTTAAATACCTATACTAGTTGGTATTCTTTTAAAACCACAGGGTCATTAGCTCCATAATTGGAATCACCTGTCTAGGCAGTGGAGAGATGTGCTGTCTCTCTTGCTGCAGTAAAGAGGCAATGCTCTTTTGTCTGCCAAAGGTTTTCTACAGAATAAAGCACCTTACAGGTTTTTCAGGTGTCCTTTGGCTATTGTGAACCTTTATGGCATGCAGGAGCTCTTCCTCAGTCCCCTTGCTCATTGGAAGCTTTGCAGGCACGTTATTCAGCTCCTTTATATCTTGCTTGTAAGTTGTGCAGGAGCCATTTCTTCACGTCTGGGCATTCCTACCAATTTTCAGAAATACATTCTATTTTGTTCTGTTAAGCATAAATCTGTGATTTTGCTAGATAGCAGATGTAAATGTGCATAAGCTATCTTGGCTAGCAGAAGTAGTTTAGTCTGAGTTTTGCATGAGGTGATAATTTATTTTGCTAGGAAAGGTAAATTAGATTGTTTCATTCTATTATGTCTGGGTTGTTCCTGGTACCTAAGGTAGGCTTGGGTATCCAGTGTAGATGTACCCAAAATTAATTAGGCACACAGTTGCTTGGAACTACAAGATGGGTTTGGGAATCGTTGCTCTTGGCATTATCCAGTGAGGGTTATCATCATGCCAGATTTCACCTTTTTACCACAAGCTATTTTATCTGTAAAATTTAAACGAAAATGAACACCTTTTATAGAAATTTCTTTACTTCTCTTATACTTGATAATATATGGATGATTTTCTTTTGAGTTTTCAACAAAATCTCATCTCCGTGCAGATGACAAAGCATAGTAAGTGAAAGGTGAAAATTACAGTGTAGTGTACTTAATTTAAGTGCATAGCCTTGGGACTGAAAAAGATTATTCATTTACCTGGAACATACACTTAATCAAACTTTTAATGTAAACTATGCTTATTATGTATATAGTTCTGTTGGTGCTCTGGTATAAGTACCCCAATCCTGAATTACTCCCATTATTTCCAAGGCTTGTAACAGCAGCCCTTTGAGAGCTGCTTCCTCTTCAATATGTCTGGTGTGGTTAGAGGTGGTACAAAGTGTACAAAATATACAGTTAAAGATAGTTTGCTGGAAATGGGAGTAGAGGTAGGTTACGAAGTAGACAGTGGGGCTGGAAAATACTATGCACTTGTTTTGTACAGATAACCAATATTTGCTGAAATGTAATCAATAGGTAACAAATTGGGACTGGCATTGTTTGCCCAGGGGTGGGCAAAATGGTTGATATCACCTGCAGCTGGATCCAGTTCCCAGCAGCGCAGTGGCAGTGGATCTTGGGGCTGGAGCGGAGCTGTGATCCATTGCTCACCTGCCCCTGTGACGGGTGCCAGTTCTGCAGGGAGGGTCGTACAGGCAGTTGATCTCGGCTTAGTCACGGCCCTGACCCCACAATGTCAGTGCTCCAAGATCCTGGCCCCGGCCCGGGACACCTGCCCATGCAGCTCCTGGCTGGTGTCCATGTGTTATAAAAATAGACTTTTTGTCTATTGCTTTTAATCTGATGTATTTTCTTGAGTTTTGCATTGCCTTAAGGAACTCCATTTTGTAAGGCTCTGTAGCTTGATGTAAGCGCTCAACCTTTGTGTGCTGTATGCGTGAGAGAATGGGTGAGAGTGTGTTTGTGGAAAAGGAAAACATCAGCTGGCAACTGGCTGAAGAATGCAGACAGATAAAAGACAAAAACAAGAAGAATCCGCCCCGGAACAGCGAGAGAACAACAACAATCGGCCTTCAAGGAAGAACGCAATGATAACACAGCAAAAGCCCAGAGGACTGGGTGAATTGACAAGGCTATAAAAGATGGGGTGAGACATACTGATTTTGGGTCTTGTTCTGCATGTCATCCTGAAGCATCCGTTTATTTGATGAGATGGGCCAGTGGGAGCCGGGCTCCTACTTGTGATCAACTTGGCTTGCCTCTAAGTTGATCCGAGTATTGATAAGACTGGTAATGTAGACCAGTGCAGAACAGAAATTGGGGTATGAAGGTGGTGTGCGTGCATGTGTGTGCGTATGTATTAAGCACTTAATCATTAAACGTGGCACCTTGCCTTATCCTCCCTTATAAGATCTCGCTCGTGATTTGAGCAGTTGGCAATTTGTGTAACACGTGGAGACCCTAGGACCTTGGGGTGGTGACAGCGCAGGGCGGGGGCAGAACTGTGATGCGTTCCCTGCATGCCCCTGCCTGTGGAACCCACTCAGGGTTTATTTGAATGCTGGGCAAAAATCTGCGAGAGTGATGCCAATGACAAGAGCTGGTAAGATTTGATAGGTAGAGCTGATGACTTGGTGATGTTTATGGACAGAGTAGATGTGCTGAGCTACATGCTGTGATATTAAAAATAGTCCTGTCCATAAAGAGTGTCTAGTTGTAAAGTAGGTACAGCCAGCACAATGAAGATGAAATGCAGGTCTTGGACAGACCTTGAAAATACGCAGCTAACTCTTCTGTTTACAGCAGCCAGAATAAAGGTCTCAGTACAAGCCTGTAAGTGCAGCTCTTTCTAACCTCAGTTGTGAGCACAAGGGCCAGCTACAGAAGTTACACTTTTCCTGGTATAAGTGATCGGAAACCAGTCTATACTTGTAACAGCATAGAAGTTTAGCACGTGTAGACTGGTTTAAAAATGGCGGAACCCAGTCTAAGATTTGTACCTCCCACCAAAAGGGCAAATGTGTGTTCTGGTTGGTACTGATTTAAGCAACATTGCTTACACAAAGCTGCGTAACTTAGATGGATTCTGCCTCAGGTTCTTTAAATGTCTGTACCAAGCCATGGTGTCCAACTTGGCTGGAAATAAGGCTCTAGTCCGAGGTCTGGGCATCTAGAAAACGAGGCCAAAGGTTTCCAGCACCACACAAGCCTGGCTGTGTAGGTGCTGTTGTAGTATAAATGCTGAACAAAAAATAATAAATACATAGGCTGCTGAGCTGAAATACCAGTTGTTCAGTCACACAAGTAAGAATCTTACACAGGGGTGCACTAGCTTTTTTACCCATCTGTGGGTCCTACAAACCGTGGGAATGATTAATTCAGGAGTGAGGGGGTGGCTTAGACACAATGTTGGTCAACAACTGCTCTGTAAGAGGCCATCACTGAAATGATCTGGCACTGGCTGTAGGTCCAGGAAGCTTGGGCCTGGCATACGGCTTCTTGGACAGTTGCCCAGGTAGTTCCTGGCTGGTCTCCATGCAGACCCTGGGATCTTGGGGCGATGATGACAGCATGGGGCCAGAGCAGAGCTGCGATACGTTCCCTGCTTGCCCCTGCTGGTGGAACCCGTGTTTGTTTCAGGGGCGTGTGGGCAGCGGATCGTGGCTTGGCTCTGGCCCAAGCCCTGCGCTGTCACTGCCCCAAGATCCTGAGGTCTACCCAGCTCTGTGTACTTGTCTTGCTTTTGGCTGTGGTCCCATCCCAGCTGCCTGGCTGCACACCTGGCTTGCCTGGATCCTGCCCCTCTGATTGTAGGTATGGGGCAGGCAGGCTGGGATGTTTGGCGGTTGGGGTGGATTTGGTAGTGGCAGCCAGAAGGAGCTGTCACCGCAGGGGCTACTGTGAAATGGGAGATGGACAGATGAAATGGGAGTCTGGTGCACTGGCTGTATTTTGCTCACCCCTGTATTATAATATTCTAGAAAACTACCAATTATGCACAATGTGAATCAATGGAACGTATTGTGTGGAAACAGTGATGATGATATAAAATATCATGCAACAGCAGTAATACATAATTCTGATATAATAAAAGCCTTAGTCTGTCTGTCTGTAATGCACTGGGCCAACTGCGCATGCTCTGCTGAGAGGGAACATGCTGATTGGCTGTGAGGGCTTGGAGCATTAGGGACAGAGGGGGTGAGGGAGCCTCTGCGGGCCTTCCCACCAACAACAGCTAGCAGGGAGGGGGAGGCAGTGGGGAAGAGGGGCGGGAGGGGAGTGGGAGAGGGAATGGGAAGGGGGAGTGTCTGGTGGCAGCGCCCACCACCACTGCATCCCCCTCCACTCCCCCCCTGCTGCCCAGCCCTGACAAAAGGTGGCAGGGTGGGGGGGGCATGCTGAGTGCCACTGGCTACCGCTGCATGCAAGCTTCCCCCCACTCCCGTCCCTCCCCCCATTCCTGAGAGCCAGCAGTGGCATGGGGTGGGAGGGACACACAGGGCCAGACGTGGGACAGGGCCACATGGAGCCAGATGCAGGGAGTGGGTGTGCATGGGGCCAGAGGCAGAGCAGCAGCACTGCTGGGTGCTGGGTAGCAGTGCTCCATCCCTGCTCACCTGCTCCCCCTACCAGTCACGATGGCCAATTTGCTAGTAACTTATATAAATATATTACATATAAAACAGTCATCTTACTTGTAAATAACACTAATAGTGATATAGCATTATACTATAATAATAACAACCATAACAGCTACTAATTGTAGTGGTGTGTGGTACATACTGGATACAAATATTGAGTACCTTTATTTAATGCAGTTCTTTAAATGCATTTTTTTCCTTGTTCTTTCTTGTAGTAAGCAACAGATCGACATTCTGCCAGGCCAAAATGTACTAAAAATTATACAAGATCGTTTTGAAAGTAAGCCTCTAACTCTTGTCTTTCGGTCTCTTTGAGTTGTTATTTGAAGAATAAATTATAACCCTCTCACCAGTAGCACCTAATGAAATGAGTAGTTGTATGATTATTTGGGGTTTTTTTTGGCACTATGCCTACATAGTGCAGACAACACAATGATTTGTTTCAAGCATGGTTCTCAACCTTTTTAGGCTTGAGGCGCACCCCTTGACAGACTTCAGGCGTTTGAGGAAAATGCCGGCTCTTTGTTTTCACTTACTTTTTGGCTTGAAAGGATCTTAAGGCACCGCAGGGCCTGGCTGGGATTCATTGGTTTAAAACACGTGAAAACTACACAAATTGTTCTTTTCTTATGCTTTATTTAATGCAGCTCTACTCTTAAGTTTGATACAGTAATTTGTAACTATTACAGTATAGTAAACTCTTTTCTGCAGCTTTTGTTTTGTGTAGTGTATGGTTTTACATTATGCATCATGCAGTGGCAAGTATAATTCCTCATAAGATGCTGTAGCTTCACATATCCAGATGAATTCAGCTGTCTGAATGGCTTTCAGAGGGTGCTTTGCAAGGGATTCTGGGTAACTGAAAATGTACTGTACTTAAAAGATGAAAATTATGTACTGTTTATCTTGTTATG